GATCATTGAAGAATGAAGTTGAATATCTCAACAAGATGTTATTTAAAACATAAATCAAATGCATATTAATAGAAATCATAGAAGAAGCAAGAAGTTGTTGTTCCCGCTTGATCAACAAAGAAGATGAAGATAAGAAGACAAAAAGATGTTTCACTCAATATCCATAAACTTTTAATCTTGTAGAAACATTCAAAACACAAGAGTTGTTGCTCTTATTGTGTTATTTCTTAGAAACCTTCATGTAAATTGTTTTAGACAAGGAGTTATTGCTCAAAATCTTGTCAAAACAATGTGTACTACAAGTAGGAGAAATATGCTTGATAAGAAGCACTCTTGTAAATCTCCAGAAAAATAATTCTTTCTAGAATTGGTGTTTCCTCAAGTGACTTTCTAGTCTATATACTTGAGAAGGCTAAGAGGTCTTTCTAAACTCTTAGAGGTTGTATAATCTTTCAATATTAGTGGATTAAGTCATTTTCTAAGGAAAAATCACCTAAGGAGGGTGGACAAGATGTAGCCTTAGTTGAGAAGGTGAACTTGTATAAAAATGAATGTGTTCTTTACTACTATTAGTTTCTACATGCTCAAAGGCTTCCGCAAACTCTTTAGAAATGGAAAAAGTTTCTATCAACATAATTCAAACCCCCATTTCTTGTGTTTTTCTCCACCTTCAATTGGTATCTGAGCATGGCTCTCTCATTGATTCTTGAATCAAACACTTAACCGTGTAGAGAGATCCAGTTAGAGAAAACCACAAACATCTTGAGAAAATAAATTATCTGAAGTAAGCATTAGAAGCTCTGCATACTTGAGCTAGCTATGTTTTAAAAAAAAAGAACTCTCTATAAGAAGGCAGTTCTATAAAATTCTTGAAGAAGTAGAAGGGTTCTCAAGGAAGCGACATTCTTCTATATAACACAACATAATGTATCTGAAGAAAGAAAATGTAAGAAGTTAACTTTTTTGAAACTTTCCATAAATAAGACTTGCAGGTTCTGAAGAAAGAACAAATACAAGTAACAAGGATGATGAACCATCAGATCCATATGAAAACTCAACTATTCAGAAATGACATAAACCGAGATAAGACCACTCTAAAGAATTATGGGAAACAAGACAAAACCTATCAGAACAAGGTCCACCTTCAAGCAACCTGAGGAAACCATTCTAGGATTAGTTTCTCTAATCTCAAGCAACAATGTGTTATGCTCCTTGGTAAATTTCTCCAGGTTCTCCTCGGCCAAATTTCAAGCAACCCCTCGTCAGTGTGTTCCCTCTCAATCTCGGCCAACTTAGCTCGCAACTTTCTCATCTCAACTTCTTGAGAAGAGCCACCCTCGGTGTATGCAACGACCATCTCCAAGACCCTCATAACGGCCCCATTATCCTGAGCTAACACGGTCTTCTTGGCCGGACGATCCAACCCCTCGAGTAAAAGGAATTAGCCTCAAAAGATATACAAGGAAGAACCCTCGAAGAAATTCATGTCATGCCAGCAGGGAGGAAAAACGTATTTCCCCTTCTCTTTTTCCCCAGTCAGATTGATGGTGCCATCGCTGTGCTGCCTTTCGAGCCTCGAAGACACTTGCAAGGGGAGACAGCCTCAGCCGCTGTCCCTGTCGATGAAGCATCTGATCCTGACATAGGAGTATTCCCCGCGTCAGAAAAAGAGGACTTGGCACCCTTATGCGCCTTCTTCAGGCTGGAAGCGGCCGTCTTGTCCAAATGCTCTTGAGCAAGATTCATCTTATCTGCGAGGAAACAACGAATTATGGTCAACAAACAGAAATAATATGTCATGCATACAAAGAAAATAAGATCATAAAGTAACTACCTAATTATTCCACAAGATCCTCGCTCTCGAGGAGCTCCTTGACACCTATCAAACCAAGGTCGTATACCACCTTCCTGTCCTTGTCGATGACCGATTTTCCCCCTCTACCCATATGTTGGACAAGAGGAATCCCCACGACGAAGGCAATGAGGTAGTTAAAACTGGCCTGGTCCTCGATGCCAAGTTGAACCTTCTTCCAGACATAAACCTCCATCCCATTATCATATTGCTTCCTGGTCCAATGAAAGGGGAACTTGGGCCCCAGTTTATTCATATGCTTCCCCTCCGTGTTCAAGACAGGAGCCCCATCCTCGTCGTATGCTGGAGAAATCCTAAATACATTCAACAATGCCCTCTGCGAGACAGGCTGGATAAGCATGTACTTGTCCTTGAAGAAACAGACAGACTCTAAATATGCCTTGAACAATTTTTCGTTCGCCTGCTTCAAAGAAACCCAACCAAACTGGCCACATGACGTTTGCGTTTGAAGATGAAAATGGTGGAAGAATAGAGGAATGGTGGCCCCGATGCCTAGATAGTCACACACGATCTCAAAAGCCCGCAAGAAGGCGATCGAGTTCGGGTGCAGCTAGGATGGAGCAAGACGAAGATGCTTGAAGACCGCCACCTGGAAATCCGAGAAGGGAAGCCGAAAACCCATCTCCCTGACGGGATATCATACATAGGGAACCGACGAGTTTCAAACTTCGAGTAGACCCGACTTTTCTTATTAAGGATATATATCACTCACTACTCCTCGGCACCCTCGCGATCCATCTCTAGGTCCACCAATGTAAAGATATCGTCAGGATACTCGATGAAGTGAGAAACATACTTCAGTGCACCCGGTGGGACCCAAGCCAATGGATCCTCCTCGACCGCAGGCTCACTTGGACCTACTCGATCAACACGATCCATCTCTATGTCCCCCTCGGTGGCTTGTTTCCCGGGAAACCCTGGATCCAACGCGCCTGGCGCGGGCTCTTACGCCCCCTGAGGTACTCGTCTCGCTAGATGTACACTCAGTGAAACTTTGAGCAGAATCACTAGGCTCGTTCAGAAACACATCGTCAACACTAGTAGTCACTGCACTTGAAAAGCAGGGGAAAACAATGAGTTCGACATCAATGTCAAATCCACCCGTGCACCACTAATCAAGTGAAAGGGCGCCAAGGAACGAGGACCTTGTCCCCGACCAGAGCCCTCACTTAAATAACTACTAGATGGTCATCACTCTCCCTGACTAAACGAGCTAGACTCACCCAGAAAACGGGTGGTGAACGACGAAAACTGCCTAAATTCACAAAAAACCATCTACATTCATCTAACACCACCGCGGTTCCAAACTCCCTAGGAAGAACGTATGGCATCACTGACGGTCTCACTTGGAGAAACAACCATCTCCAACCAACATTCTGCCAGGATTTCTAAGTGATAAATTACCTTAAACCCTAACCACATGTGTTTCTAAGAGAAAAAAATATGAAATCTAAGCTACAACGAGGATTAAATCTACATGAACATAAGGAACTAGTGAACTTACCGAGATAAAAAAAGGAGAGCGGCAGACTAGACGGTGGACGGAAACAAAACTAGCAAGAACTTTGGAGGTCGAGCAGTAATGAGTAGGAAATTAGTAGAGCGAAAAAAATGTAAAGTCTGCCTCTTCTCCCATATTTATAGGCGATCTCACCAACGCATGAGAGAGAACGTGCCCGAGGAACTCTAAAGGGCGTAATCATTGCACCCTAGTCCCTAGGCTAGCCATCATCACCCCTTTTTTCTGACAGCATGTAGCTTAAGACACGCGTGATACACCAACTCTTCATCTTTCGAAACCAAACCATTCCTCTACCCGTGGGTCAATGCGTGCACGATACGATAATTGCTCGGAAAGAATGCTCATCTATTCCCCTCCCTGCGAGGCGAACACATCGAGCGTCCCTCATGCTCCCCAAACGAGGTCGACCCAGAAGCACCCCCGTTTCGCGGGTTGGTTCTAAGTCATCACTCATATGCCCATGAGCAACCACTTGGGAGGCTTCTGTTATGGACTGATCCAATGACTAGAATTGGCCCAATCTGCTTCTGCCCCTGGAACGACTCGATGACAGTGGCCCAACACTCTGATCGACCATAACGCTTGTCACCCGACTAGTTATACCCGACATACACGCCAGACAAGATCAATAAATGTCTTCTGTCGGCCCAACACTAGTCGGGTAGACACCCAGGAAACGACCAAAACGATCATCTTCCTGTAATCCTCCTCCTCGGAACAAACAGCTACTTACGAGCATACTTGTCTGTTTTGACTCAGTCCTGACAGTTACCTATTTTTGCGAACCTGCATATCTAGGCCCAAAAATTGGAACCAATGGCTACGCGCCGGGGGTACACTATATAAACCCTCACACATGTGAGGGCAATGTATTCACTATCTCACACCTTAAACCCCAATATTCTGCTTGTATCTCTTTGCTGCCACACTTATTGGATGGTCAGAGTGTCTTGCAGGTACAACCCCCCTTTTCTCCTTAACTTTTCAGTCAGTCAAAGATCATCCTTCGGCCCACTTACAGATTCTGATCAACTGGTAAGATCAATTATTACTATTATTATTATTATTATTTTTAAATAAAAAACTACTTTTTAAAACTAAAACAAACAAATGCATAATTTCAAATTTCAATCCCCATGAAAAATGAGCGCAAAATATAAAAAAATGATTTTCGAGACGAATTCCTGCATAAAAAAACCCTCCCCCGAATCACTCGATTCGCCCTATTGCCATATCTAGCCATATTCATTTATTTATATAAAATATAACAAAAAAAAATATATAAGTTACTCTAGATTTTCCACAATATATGTTATTTTAGAGAAAAAATATTTTATTTTATATCCAAGTCAAAGAAGTATTAATTTCATTCTACTTTTTTATTCAATTCTTGTGACTTTTTTCTCACATTGTTAATAAGAGTCAAATTAATAAAGTGAATCATACTAATTTCCATAAAATCAACAATAAAAAAAATAAAATAAAATGGGCCTAAAATGAAAGCCCAAAATCAATAATATAAGAGCTTCTTCATCACCTTGTGTCTTTACAAATTCCAATTCTAATTCATTCATTGCATTTGATTGCATTGTTTTGAATTCAGTGATGGAGGAAAAGTACACTGAATTCTCACAGCATTTGAAGAAACCTAGAATTTCAGAAGAAACCAATTCGAAAATCAAAACTGAACTATGCAGAAGATTCATGCAAGGTCTTTGTGTTCATGGTTCAAAATGCAACTTCGCTCATGGCTTCTCTGAACTCAGAACTGCCCCCAAACTATGCAGAATGTTCTTGTACAACAGACAGTGTACCTATGGCCATGCTTGTCGTTACCTTCATTCATCAGTTCCTCTTCAGCATCATCATGATCATGGTCATCACCATTCTCGCTTCAATGTGTCTTCTGCTGCAAAACCAGGTATAAAGACTTGATTTTTACTGTACTATTGCCACATTTTGATCTTGTTTGTTCATTTCTTAGTTTATGAACGAAAAAGGTTTTTCATAATCTGCTGAATGAATTTTGGTCTTGTTTGTTTGCTACTGGATTTTTTTCATAAATAACAGTTCGGTCGCGTAAAAGTTTTTGCGATTTCGGTCGGTATATATATGTTTGTGAGATTGTTTGAAAGACCTTATGATCAAGGGTTTTAAATAACGGTCAAGGTCGCGTAAATGTTTTTGTGATTTTGGTCGGTATAGGTGTTGCAACGCTGATTGTGGTTGTCATGATATTAATTAAGCACAATTTGTTCTTTATCACAAAAAATTGTGGATAATGGTATTGGTATTGGCACCTTCTGATACCGTTTTGTCGCAACCATTTCCTTGATCGTGGACCGTTTTTTAAAACCTTGCTTATGATAACAATGGATGACATATATATATATATAAGTTGTTTATAACCTTGTTGTCAAATACTGGCCATGACGGATATCAGTGGTGGTTTTTGGGCTTGCCAGTGGTAAATATTGATTGATATTACAGGTTTTTTCTGCCGTATTCTGTTAGGATGGCACCACAAAGCGGCCTCTATGTCGGGTATTTGGCCGGGCCACCATCTGCTATTGACAACACTGGGTTTAGCTTATTTCAATGAGTTCTTTCTGTAGTTTATGAAAGAAAAAAAAGCTTATATAGTTGATATGACTTTATTTTGACTAGCTTATATCTATAAATTTGGACTTCATACTTTGTGGATGCAGAACTAGGGACAGTGCAGAATGCAAAACAAGGGACAAAGGAGAATGCTGGAAGCATGATCATGCAAACTAGTGCTGCTGCTGCTGCTACAACTGGTGCCCACTCTTCTGCACAAAACAACATAATGGCAACTTCTAGTTCTACTCCTGCTACAAATGCCTCTGCCAGCCCAGCAGTGGCAACTACTTCTTTCCATAAGAATGGACCCTATGCCTGTAAAACCATATTCGACGAAAAGAAACTGCAAAGGGTAAGCCGCATCTATGGTGATTGGATTTAAGATGTATTGGTATCGCTGCACAACATAGTTCTAAGCAAACTGAACCAGTGGAGACTTGCTTATGTGTTTTTCCGAGAACAGAAGGGAAAGATTCAAGAGTTTTACTTCACTAGCAGTCCGAGATAGTTTGTTGAGGGTTATGTCTCAGTTTTAGTTTTCATTCTTCTCTTCTTATTGGCAACGTATATGCTTCAATATTTCCTGCAGATATATATGTAAATCCTTGTAAATTTGTTACTCTCAAATGTTTTGGCATTATGGCGCATCATTTGAACGCATTTGATTCAGTTTCCCGTGTGAGTGTTCAATAGAACTTTTTTTCTGAATGGCAAGTTTAATAGAACTATCAGCAACCCATGACTCACCCGAACACGATAACCTGTTATAAAATCTGGTAATGCAGATGGATGATTTCAGGTCATCGAGTTAATAGTGAAAGTTAAATATATGTATGTAGTAGATATGAGCTAATGTAATTTCACACTTATCTCTCAAGGACAAAAATTAACGTTTTCACTAGTTATTGTATAGTTAAGTATAGACATAGTCTGCAAATCCTAGCTCAAATGGCAAAAGCCGGCATTGCAGGAGAGTTCGAACCCCGTTACACACAGTTGTGTGCATGAATTTCTAGTGGTTATTACCACTTCGTCTACCGACCAATAAAAAAGAAGTATACACATAATCTAGACTGAGTTTGGCAGTCATAAAGCAAGTCATAGATTCCAAGATTCCCTTTGTGAAATTCGAATAGAAAAGATGGGAAATTCTTGAATCTCAACAAAATTGATTTGAACATGAACACAGAAGAAATACATGCTCTAATTGAACAAACATATTTGGCTTGTTACAGTATTTGTGAATTCAAAAGCTCGCATTGATGAGATGCAGTGTATCAATAAAATCAGAAGAATATTGATACATAGTGAAATACAACTGACGCTTTCTATTGTTTTTCACGTATTTTCTCCCGAAGATCTTACCCATTTGATAGTTGACCGGGCTAATACTTCCATTGGATCGATACATTTCTTGAGAAGAGGATCATCGTGGGGTAAGACATCCCGCATTTCATCAGAAGCAAGTATAACAAAATTAACTGCCCTCACCAAAAGAACTTGAAGTGCAATTCTCAAAAGATTGCACGCACCTTCCATGTCTTTTCGACTCAAAGCTTCAGTCGCAGGTATCACTGTATGCTCCATAGTTGCTCTATCAGGCAGGATAACCTCAAAACCCTGAATATAAGTAAATAAGTTGAACACATCCACATCTCATTTGCTTATCTTACTTCTAACTTCTAAGCATTGCAGTTTTTACAGAAAAAGTAGAAAACAAATAGTACATATGAAGAACATGTTGGAATTAGGAAGACATAAAACAACTATTTTCTGCCATCGTCATTGACAACAATGCAACAAAGTAGACATATGAAATTGAAAACAAGTTGTATATTCATTGCAATTTCAGTCCTAATGAACAGAAACAAAGTTTCCAACAAAGTACACAGATATGAAATTTATAAGTCATAAATTAGATGAAGGAAATTACTTCATTCTGAAGCTTGTCTTTGTAGAAACCAGCTGCTAGAGTTGCATTTGTCGCAAGCACTCCAATCCTCAAAGGACTACCAGCTTCAAGTGGCCTTAACTTAGCTTCCTTAAGTTCCTGAGCAACACAATCAGCCATATGAAGAAAAGGCACAGAACATCCATTAGATACTTGTTCATACCAAGAATGTGAAACATTACAAGGCATGACTATGCAGCGCGCCCCGGAATTCTCAAGAAAAACCCTTTTATTTCTAAGACTCTGCACAATATCAGAAGAATCAAGTTTAAAACTTTCCAAACTCCTTTCATAGGAAAGAAGCTCCTTATTCAAAATTGGATCAGAACAAAGCAAAAAAGGAATAGGTTTTTGTCCATCTTGTGAACTCAACTCCACAAGTTTTCTTAGAAAATTGAGAGTTGCATCAACAGACATGCCTCCAATGATTCCAACAGTTGTTCCTTGATAACCAAAAGGAGTAACAAAATCATTCCTAACAGAAACATCATTTGAGGAATGAACCTTCTTTGAAAATCTCTCACCTTCATCTGCATTCAATATAACTGAAGATGGTGGGGGTGTAGATAGAACTTTCCATGACCTTGATTTGCACAAACACAAGTACCTAGGATTAAGATTAGGATTAACAATACTTACACAACCCAATAATGTTTGTGATTGGTAAAACAAAGACATTGCAAACATCACATCAAATCAAACAACCCCAAATGGTTTCTTTTTCACTATGAAAACTTTAGAACCCCATTTGAATAAGGGGTTCTAAAGTAAGAGATTCAATGAAAAAAACCAACCTTTAGAAAACCCCTTTTGTTGCAAAAAAGTGTAGAATCTTCTAACATGGTTAATAAGGGTGGAAAAGTTATAAGGAAGTAAAAACTAAAAAGTGCAAATGAACAGTATTCTAATCTGTAATAACAGACAAGATTTCATGAGTACCCAACATTCATCTGTTTGTGTTATTTCACCAAAGTACAAAATATTCAGAGATGGACCATGTAAACAAGTGGTAAGCATCGAAGAATGTTCTTGCCATGTGCATCGTTAGTGTCAAGTTTCATATTGGTTGTGTCATTTTCAATTGGGCTCCACAAGTTTTGTGAAATACTGAATTAGAGTTTCTTTTGCAAAATTAGATTGTAACTTCTTTTTATTGTTTCTGCATGAAGAAATAACAGTCTTCAAATCATACACGGTTCTCACATGTCTAGATTATATATTATTCTATGTGAAACTCTTAACAAATTTCATTGTAGTCCTATCTAGATTACAGAATCCAAGTATGATTTGTTGGGAGTGTATAATCTAAAAAGAATTAGAGAGTAACACATTGAAAGTAAATAATGATGTTGCAATTCAATAAAATAACCATATAGTTGGTTTACTAATCCTGCACATTTTCACTATGATTAAGGTGTCAGGCCTACATCTATTTGAGGACAATCATCAAATTATATATTTTGCGAGATAATTTTTATAGGTTATGTTCAACTCGACTTGTTTTTCCCACACTCAGCGATGAAAAGTCATCATAATAAATCTTAAATTTGTCATTTTAATATTTCGAAAGTATATTTTTGAAATGCATATGGAAACACGTTGTAAGGGAGACATTTTTCATTTTGCACTACTAAAAAAAATAATTTAGAGAGGGAAATAAATCTCTCGCTAATTACGATGGATTTAGTGAGAAAAAATTGTAATAGTCATAAAACTTAAATGGATAAATATTAGTGATGAAAATTGTGACAAAATTATTCCGTTAGAAAAAATCCCTCACAATTTTAATAAAATTTATTAAAAACTAGTCCAAAAGTGTATTTCTGGATTAACCCTAGACTGATTGTGTTTATTTCACAACTCAGTGAATAATTTGAAAGTGAAGCTTCATATTTATCAAGCGATAAATTGAATAAAACACTATCTTACATGTATTCTTCATTCATGATCATATCACCGTTCTTCTTCAAACCTTATAAAAACTTCATTCCATTCTCAATCAAGTTTTTGTACTTCAAAACAACATTCTTCTTTTTTTCACATAAAAAATGAGCAAAAGAAACTGCAATTTAAGGTGATGTACATGTATTTCCTTCCTCGTTGCTTGCTAGAATCTAGTTTTTGCCGTGGAAAAACGAACGTTGAGTCCAGAAGTATAATTCCATATTATTGTTGAATGTGGTTACGTAAGTGTATTTATGAATTATTGTAATGTTGAATTTGGGTTTTAAATTTTTTCTGCTATGATTGGCCTCAGATATGGTGCACTCTAACACTGTTCCCAAAGTTAATGTGTCTATGGATGTTAAATCGAGTGATGTTGAGGTAGATGTTGAAAAGTAATTTACAAATAAAGAAGAGTTTGCAATTCGTTAACATAAGCTTCAATAGATCTGCTGGAGGCTGCCAAATTAGAGTTCGACATTGTAATTGGAAGGTCAAATAATAATTTCGATAAATGACAAGCATTTGTGACAATGAGATACAAAAGAAGTGGCAAGTACACAAAACCTATCCAGAAGTTGAAACAAGATGACTTTGTAACGAATAAATGTGAGTGTCCTTTTAAGTTACGCGAGTAACTTATGGCGAATAATACATGGATATTTAATATAGTTTATGGTATACATAATCATGACTTGCGTTACAAGATAACCGGTCATCCCATTGCATGTCGCTTTAATCCTGAAGAGAAGGATCTTGTTTCTGACATGACATTGAACATGATGCAACCCAACAATATACTTGCAACTTTGAAACATAAAAGACCTAAAATGTCTTAAATATCAAGCAAGTATACAATGTCCGTGCCAAAAACAACAAAGCGATAAGAAGTCAAAGAACTGAAATGCAACAATTGTTGATGTTTTTGGATGACGATCGTTATGTAGTTGATACCTGCAATGTTTATCTCCTAGGTAGTGATAAGCATGCAAAAACTAGATATAGTTTGTTACATTAGTCTCGAAGCAGTAACAAGCTATCACAAGCGTCTTTTCTCACATTTATCTGATCAGTCTCTTAGCAAAGATAGATATGTTAATCCACGCTCTAGACATTGATGAGTTATCTACGTCATCCTTGCCCTTTTTTTCACTTTTTACTTGATTTATTTTTTCAAATTATTTTCAAAAGTTTCTAAAGTGACTCCTTGGTCAAATCACGGGGTCTTCCATTATTTAATTACCCTTTGATCCGAATGTGCGAGAAATTCGTATTCTCGCACCCTTAAATCAAAGAGTAATTAAATAGGGGCAGCTGTCATACCTCAAATTTGTCCGCCCTTTATATATGTTACAATGTCATTTAATATTGAATGAATGGAGTAGTACAATTGGTAGAGTATACGTCAAGAGTTGTGAGTGTATAAGATCACAGGTTCAAATTTTGCTTGCTCTACTTTTGACATTTTTTTCTTTTATTTGTTACTA